TTTGAAAAATGATACATAAGGGGCGTAGTCCCCATTTTGTTGGCTTCTAGTTTTATTTTGACACGAAGGCCGTGCAATGAGTGGCTTAGTCACAAATCGATAAAGAACATAAAAAAACTGGTTCGCCTCAACCATGAGCAGTTTGCAACGACAGATCAATTAACCCAAAACTATTCACTTTTTTCATATACTTAAGTAGTTCCCGAGTTATAAAGGTGTGATCCTCCGCTTTAGCTATGTTAAAAAATTGGCAATATTGCCCATATATATATTTCAAAATTGAGAATGTTTCGGAATGTCCGATTTGGGCTAAATATATTCCGTTTTGTTGTATGATTTGTTGCCATTTTAAAGGTAACTTCATAATGCCGTCTCATAGAAGTCCTGCTCTCAATTTGAAAAAAAAACTCTATTAGTCGACTTTAATAATCCTCCCTAGATACCAATTTTGTATCATTAAAGAAATTTTGCAATGCCAGAAAAATCTGATAATTGTTTGCATTAAAACTTCCTAACCAAGCTCCCGAAGTTTCTGGCGAGTCACTGTAGATATGTTTTGCCTAGCGTTGTCCTGGTGGAACACGACACCCCTCCTGTTGGCCAATTCTGACCGTTTCTGGTCAATTGTAAATGGTTTAACAAAGTTTTATGGTCGCTTTTTAGCTCCTGGGCGATTATACGACTGCTAACATCCTGGTCAACTTCGATCATTTTTCCTTTTTTATCAACATTTTCGACGACCGGCCTACCTGTATACGAAGTGCATCTTCTTAAATCAAATATTCCTGAACGGAATCTAGAAACCAATCGGTTCCACACAGAGACTTTCGCTTAATGGTCCACACAAAGACTTCGGTTTACTGTTCGTAGTTAGATATAGTAGTTTCTACGTCTTAGTCCATCATCGTGCCAAAACACGAGGCCAACAGTTCCCAGCCATAACTAAATCGTCGATGCCGATTGCCGACAACCATCGTTCACTATCATCAATAAACCATCGTTGCCCATTACCGACAACATCCCTTCCCAATTATCGTAAACGATCATTGTGCCGACTCCCGAACAGTAAATTTAAGCACAAAAAGTGAGACATTAGACCTGTAGGCCTATTCTGTAACTTTTTAACAACATTCGATATTGTTTATTTTACAACAATTTCATTTGTTTGTTTTATTGTTTTTACAATAACAAAAGAAATTTAAACAATATAGAATGTTCTTAAAAGTTACAGAATAGACCTACTGGACACAACTGGGATAACCTCAGCCGACGAGGAAACCACGTTACAGGGTGTAGTGGATAGTATGCCAGACAACAAACCGATGGTTCCTGGGTTCAAATCTCCCGAAGGAGAAATACATTTTTGAAAGTGGTTTTCGACTATAAAAAGGCTTACATACTCCTACAGATGAAATGCATCGGGAGCCCCTTGATATTCTTATAATCAATCTTAACGATCATTTTTTATTCGGCATCTAATTATAAAAACCTTTTTGTTGCCAAGAGGCGTGCATGCAATATCGAATATTAATACAATTTTTCTTGTTGTTATAAGATGGTGCTCCATTGCCATTTAAAATTTTATGTTCACCGAAGCACTTTTTTCGTACGATCAAAAATGTTCACGAGTTAATTCCATTTCTTGGCAAATTGGTTATGCATGTCACTATAAACTACACAACACGTGCTGGAACGCTAAATAGTATTAATCACTTTTATTCTAAAAACTTTCAAACATTTCAAAAGTCAGATGGCGCCCAGCGATGTCGGTTTGTTTAAAGTAAATCTTGAAGATAAAGACACGTTGAGACGGGCGTTTTCTATAGGTAATTACAAGAGGATCCATATCCAGATATTTCGTTAGTTTTGTCCGTTGTCCAATTAATGAAGCGTTGCTTGTAGGTCCGATTCTGATCAAACACTTTAAACACTTTATTTTTCAGTATTTTTAGTCGCTTTAAATACCACTATTCTGACTACACCATCAAAGTATTACGCTCCTGCTTCGATTATTGCTATTTTCAGTCCCGTATTCGAATAGGGATAACCTCATTCTCCAACTACCTGCATTCGGCTTCCAAACTGCGAATCGAGTATGCAAAGTATTACGCTCCTGTTTTAATCTTCAATACTTCTTCATATCTCTATATTCTGGATCAGGTCTATATTTAACTGGTTCAACAGTTTACCTAGTTCAACACTTCGTTCACTCGGGAAAGTTTACCAGCGTATGAAGGAGGAATGGATGATCGTTAATCTGATATCAATTGTATTAATGTAGGAGTACTAATATGAATCCCGAAATTTGTTAAGGGATCTACATATGCTAATAGGATTTTATTTATCACACTTACCGTGTAATATCCCGTTGGTATTTTTGGTTTATTCGGAATTTAACATTTTCCGCAACGATTCTAATTGGTTATCGATATCTAATTGGCTATCGATATTGGTAAACCTTTACATACAAAGGGTTACCAACAGTAAAAACTATTGTGATTTTTCTTATCAATATGTTGTGAATTGAATGCCATCAAAAATCTGTTAAAAATTTATAGTTGAAAAGTTTTCTTTTTGTCGTTTTTTGTATTGGCGATTTCAGTCATAGTGTACTGGTTTAATTTAAAAAAGGCATAATTAGCAAAAAGATTTTACAATTTTAAAAATGATTGTAATCGAGTTATTTTGCCATTCTTATAATTATCTGACATATTCCCCAAATAAGAATTTTGTACACGTTAGTACATTTCGTATTTTAGGTTACAGTATCCTTTGAGTGACATTTTACACAATATGAAAACGAAGCACAAACACACACAAAATAATAACAATAATGTAGTTTTAAATATTTATGCGATGCACAGAGTCGGTCTTTTTGTCTGTCCAATGGGTATTGTTGTGTATTCAGTTAGAAAGTCAGTCGAAATGAAAATCCACTGAGAGAAGGTTAATATTACACACATACATGGATGCATATATACCTTGTATGTTAAATGCTATCATAAATGTTTACCAACACACAGAATCAAATATTTCTGTGTAGTACCCAAAAATCATTATATATTTAGGGCCTAAACATAGACTATACTGCCTAAGTGAAATCTACAATTGTAGCAATTTATTAATGTTAAAGACACACATGGAGTTGAAATGTGTATGTAGTCGTAATAAATTGCAATAAACTGTGCTGAACTGTAAGAATTGTTTCTCAAAATAAAATAATCCCCGTACTGTTTTGCTATGTTTTATTTTGTTTTTCGGCATTAAGGGGACCCCCCCCCCATTCTCGGGGTCAAAATTTTTGTTGATATAATTCGAATCTACACTGATTAAATAATGTCTCTACAAAATTTCAAGTGAAAATCTCAAGAACTTTTGTTTTTGCAAAATAGTCAGGCTGAATCCCAGTTTGTTGTTTTTATAAAAAACAACTATTTATTAGTGGGGAATGTATGGCATTGTTTGCCGAGGGGTAAGGCAGGGAAGACTATAGTTTCGGATCACGCCACTGATCCTCATCAGTTCCCTTAGTTTTTTGTTGGGATATTCTCCCCAGAAGCTATTGCTTCTATACAAAAAACCTTTCATACCCAAATGTCTCTTGTAACAAAGCGAAGTACTTAGCTGACCAACGACATAAACTGCATGAGAATTTCGCTGGAGCCTCACTTCGAGGTTAACAAGGCATTTACAAACAATACCACACCTTTCCCACTGTTGTGTGTTGTCACATCGCGACAAATGCACACAACGACTTTGTTGGTGTTGCTAGTATACAGCAACAAACCAAACAGTTCAACCGTGCCTGCGTCTACAACTTCAGTAGTGTTGGCGGTTTATTTGGGATACCAAATAAACCGCCTCGAATTGAGGCTCCAGCGAAATTCTCATGCAGTTTATGTCGTTGGTCAGCTAAGTACTTCGCTTTGTTACAAGAGACATTTGGGTATGAAAGGTTTTTTGTATAGAAGCAATAGCTTCTGGGGAGAATATCCCAACAAAAAACTAAGGGAACTGATGAGGATCAGTGGCGTGATCCGAAACTATAGTCTTCCCTGCCTTACCCCTCGGCAAACAATGCCATACATTCCCCACTAATAAATAGTTGTTTTTTATAAAAACAACAAACTGGGATTCAGCCTGACTATTTTGCAAAAACAAAATACAAATGGTATCCCAAATAAACCGCCAACACTACTCAAGAACTCTTGAAGATATAGCCGATTTATTGTGTCAGCATCAAGTGACGGCTGAAGGGCTTCTCAAACTTTAAACGCGTTTTTCTCTAAACATTTTTTTGCGAATGGCGGGCACGATAACTCAAAAACTAATAATCCAATCGGTTCCAAATTTTGCAAGGTTTCTCTGGGAGTGTATAGCTCTCGTATGAACTAGGATAAAGCCAATCGGTGAAGATCTTCCTTAATTTTAACTTGGTTTTTGGTAAAAAATCGGCGATTTTCCAAAAATATTTTTCCAATGGTCCACCATTTTGTTAATTTTAGAGCGAAGTCAATAATCCTAGTTCATACGAGAGCCAGACATGTACTCTTTCTAACACCGTTGGAATTTTCGGATTCCGATGTTCCAGTGAGGAGTTATCATGCCCGCCATCAAAAATAAGGACTTTTCTTTAATTACAAAAAACAACAACAAAACAATAACAAAATTTTTTTGTAAATTATTTTTCTTCTCTTTTAAATCTTCAAATATATATGTGCAAAGTTACAAACCTTAACAAGCATTGGTATTGATTTACCAGCCCATTGAAAATCTTGAAAAATTAAAATCGAGAATGGGTGGGGTTCCCTTAAATGACGTCTGCTGTAATGCTATCAGTTCGTCTCGTCTTCTTTTGTTTATTTTTTTTTGTTTTCTTTTCTAGTCGAAGCTTTCCTTTTTTATCTTCGATTCTCTTCTGATTCCTAATACTCTTAGAGTAATTGTGTCTAAATATCTCAATGTTTGTATTTTTGTTTGTTTGCCATTTTCTTTTTCAGAGGAGGATTACGATGCTTTCTGTTTGGCTTATATGTTCACCTATCGGGATTTTGAAATGGGCACACTGGGTTTAGCCTGGACGGGCGATTTGAAGAATGCCGGCGGTGTGTGTGAAAAGAATGGGGTGAGTAAAGAACTTTATTTATTTTTTTTTTTAATTTATTAATTTAAATATGTTGAAAACAAATGGTGATCATGATGAGACTAGTTGGAAAATGCGACTGTTATAAAACTGATCGAAAGAAAATACTAAATAAGCAGGGTGTGATCCTCTTTTAATGAGAACCAGAAAGCGTCCGGGCACTTTTTATACTCTTTGTGTAACTCCTTTTAGTATAGCGATTGTCTTATTTCGACTAACTGAGTTGATCTAGACATGTGTCTCCGTCTGTACAGTGTAATTTTTAAACACGATACAGGCCACAGTTAAGGTCCAACCGTCACGAAATTTTTCATGTACGACGGGTTCAGGCAAAAAAAAAACACCATATTTTTGGTAATAACGATCTGCATCGACGGTGAATATCGTCGACGAATGGATCGCGATCTACACCATCTATTCTCGGACATCGACATAGTCAGATGGATCGAGCTGCAGCGACTACGTTGGTTACGTCATGTTGTGAGAATGGATGAGGATTCCCCCACTTAGAAGGCATATAAAAGCTAGCCAAGTGATGGTTCACGCAGAAGGGAAAGGCCACAAATCCAATGGAAAAATCAAGTAGAAGACAACATGTCGGAACATGGTCTTTCAAAGACCGACGTGCTTGAAAATCTTTTTTAAGCTCGGCTTATGGAAAAACCTATTTTTTACATTGAAAACGAACTAGGACCAAAAATAGGAATGCGACCTTCCTGCGAGTCGATTGTGCCATTGTATTGAGCTCCTGTTTCGATTCTCGTATTTCGGACCCTATCGTCGAATAGGGTAAGCCTGTGTCCGAATTCCAAAGTATTACACGCCTACTCCAATTCTTGGTATTTCAAATTCTGTCATCGAATAGAGTGAGCCAAACATCCTGCAAAGCGAATGCAAAGTATAATATTATACTCCTGTTCCAATTCTTCATATTACGGATCCTGCCTTTGAATGGAGTGAGCCAAGGTATCACTTTCCTTCTTCAATTCTCTATATTCTGGATAGTTTACCAACATATGAAAGAGGGATGGTTGATCTTCAATCAGATAACAATTCTTTTAATGTCAGAGGACGAAAATGCTAAAATGATTTTATGTATCGATCATATTCGATACATTTTTGTCGGGTTTTTCTAGTTGCTCTAGACCAAACATCACGAGATTTTAAACAGAGGAAGGAATCTGTCCAAGAAATATCATGGCTTTTTCCATGATAATCGGTCAATATTTAGCAGGGCAAATCGACCAAGAGAGAGATTGTTTGGTATTACCAATATCCCGCACTAGATGGCGGAAATGTAGCGCTGATGGCTAGGAAATTTTGCATGAGTTTCCGGTTATGGTCAAAACTTTCTTGTGCGAAATCTTATGGAGTACTCTTTTTACTCCCGGAAAAGAGCCGCTGAGGAACTATTGACCCTCTAAGTGGCCAAAGAAATTAAAATATGGCGAAATATTACCCAGGCTTGATAGCTGTGCAGGATATCAAATGGTCGGCCCCGTAAGGCTATTCTGATCCGCTTACTGGTTTCATTATAAAAACCTTCATTCCCTAGAGATGGTGACCCTTTATGTGGGAGGTATTGAAAGAGTGGGCCGATTAACATTATAATGGCATGGCTAAATATTACTTAGTGCAAGGACCAGTTCAAATCGGATAGCCCGTTCGCAGACACTGTGTAATAAATTTTAAACAACATGTTTTTACAATTTTGGTGGGAAGGAGAGGGAGAGGTGGGAGGTACCAAAAGGAGTAGACCGATCCATCTTCGAGCCTGATTAAAGTTTGGAAGAAATATTATGATATGCAAAGTTTGAATGAAATAGGTTACTCCCTTCAAGAGTTATCCTGTGAACCAGTCAGACGCACGAACGGGCAGACATTCATAAATATTCTAATTGTCGGCAAATTATTTAGTCAAAAGGAACACCTGGCCCACAATCAGTATTTTGGCACATATTTGCCATAGTAAAGTATATATAACCTCTGTTTAAGCGAGGATATTGCTGCACTCCTCGCCGTGGTTGTATGGATGGAGTGCGGGATAACGAAGAAAACTGCCCAAAGACAGACAGAGGCATGATTATCTAAAGCGTAGGCGTTATGCGACAGTAGTCCAAGTTGACTCTTCGATAGCTGCCAGACAAGAGTTTGTAGGCAAATGAACGCAGATGTTCACGTGGATCGCAGAGAATCTTAGCGATCGCATAGGATCGTTGACATTCGTGATCGAATGGGCTCGAAAAGTTGAAAGCGTATCAAACTTATAACTCTCATTAGCCATGAGTGTATAAAAATGTTCACATACAGAATGTTTGCTTTTCATTTTACTAGCGCCATCTATGTGTCCAGGTTGCGACTTTTCAATCGACCAACGATATCTGCTTCCATTTCCAAGTCCAAAAAATTAATGTAAAATAACTACCTTTTTCTCATAATGTCCTTTTCCACATGACAATGATCGATAGTTCATAGATAAACCTCTGTTGCACGACCTTGTTCTGTTACAAAAACGCTGCCATTCAATATCATACATTCATTCCCATCATATCGACATTTAAATTACCCCTACAGTTTAAAAATTATTTTTCATTATTGTTCGTTCGTGACCCGCTCGTCGTAAAAACCCCAACTGGCAAGAGAAGCCCATAAAACTGCATATGAAAAACTTCAACAAATTTTATTATGAACTTGAAAATTCATTATGACCTTTTTGTGTTTGTGTGTGTGTTTGCTAACACATTCGAATGCGGACGATGTTGTGACACCATTAAAAAGGCGGGTGTGAGATTAAACCATAACAACAACAACAGCAGCAACAAAAAAAAAACAAAATCCTACAACGAACAAAATGGGCATAACAAAATGGCTATATAACACAGAGTTAACACAGCAGCAAGCCGTGGCCATAACAATGAAAACGAGGCGAAATGGACAAAATGTTCCAAAACGAACAAACAGACACACAAACACCCATACTCAGAAAGAGCGAACAAAATGAAGTGACATAAAACCCAAAAAATCACCCAAACAAAAAAATGTGTACATACATATATATGCACATACAACCACCTCGGTCGTTTGCAGTTTTGAAACAGCACGGCAGCAACAATACATGTCTTCATTTTATTCATTTCCGACATGTTCGCGTATGAAAATTCCATACTCTGTGGGATGGTGTTGTTTCACACAATTTCTTTTTTTTATATATACACTCACACATATAAAATATTTGAGTGTGTGAGCTGTTTTTGTGTTTGTTGGTCGCAATGAAAAGGATCCAGTAGTCAGCATTTATAGTCAAACAAACGAAAACCCAAACATTCAAGCATTCATTCATCCACACCATTCGTTAAGAATATATTCACACAAACACACACACACCATCGCAACGTTGTTGTGCATTTTGTTAAGGATCACAGACTGGCAAAAAAAGAAAAATTGACCGGTAATGGAACCCACCATTGAACACAAAAGGAAAGGAAAAAAGTTATTCGCCTTTTTTGTTGTATTCATTTCCACAACAAAAGTCCATACTCTCTCCACTTCCAATATATGTATATATTTTGGAGAACTACAAACAAAACCATAAAAACCCCCTTTTTCGAATCTAAAGCATTGTTGAATTACATTTATTATCGTGTTTTAACATAATATTCACAGCTACCGAACTCAAAAGTCTGTGAAAAAATTGAAAGTCCTCCTTGGTTAGTTCGGGAAATTTATGCTGGTTTTTATGTCAATCCCAAAAGGAATGCATTGTTCAGCGGAAATTGTTAACCCCCATTAAAATGGAACTTTAAATTTCCGGGAATGGAAAACTATTAAAAAAATTTTAAATATTAATATTAAATATTCGATTTCCCACGTTAAAAATGGTGTATAAAATAATTTGAAGTCCTTTGTTATGTAACCCCAATGGCAATTGATGTCATAACAAATAAATTGAAAATTCCCCAATATAAAATTTTCAAATTTCTTCAAATAATCATTTTCGATATCGCGGTATAAAGCTACAGTTTTGTATCTTGCGAATGTTGATTACAGCCAGATCATGTTGGGGCACTTCAGATTTTGGGTATTTATAAAGTATTGGCCAGATTTTTTAAACGAATTGGTACGATGTCTTAAAATATTCGGTATTTTAAAGATTTTAAGCACGATTAATTCTAGTTTGAAATGTTTGGATTTGATTAGCGGAAAAAATCCCCTAAAAATAATTATTGATTCTAAATTTACGTATTTAAATAATTTTATATACGTTTTGTAACCAAATTGCCTTTTTTTATACCCTAAACAGCTATGTTGTCAAGGTATTATGACTTTGGGTGGCCTCCTGCACATTCTGTATGCTGTAGAAACCACCTTTATGACCCAAACGTCATGAAATTTTACATAGAGAGAGAGGGTTCTGTTCATAGAACAAGCATGGCAAATTTGATGCAGATCGGTCAATTTTGATGCAGATCGGTCAAATGAAAATATATTTACAGCTGAAGGATATAGACCCAAGAAGTTGACCTTTAATTCATACAAATTATGTTGTTGTATGTACTCGGATGTTGGAGTTACATGTAAATATTTACAGAGATCTATTACTCGTAATTCTGATTACCATTACCCTCTAGCATATATTTCGCCCTGATCGATCAGAAATTTTACACTAAATTCTGGTCAAGTACGACGAATATAATTTTCGGAGATGATCAGATGATATTTAGGGGTTCAAATAGACCAAAATATTTTTTGTGTGTGTTTTTAAGTCACTTTATAGACTACAATAATATACCGAAAATCACAACACGTCAAATGGCAAAGGGAATCTGTAGGCCTATTATGTAACTTTTTAACAACATTCGTTTGTTTGTTTTGTTGTTTTTACAATAACAAAAGAAAATTAATTGAATGGCTGTTTTGATCAGTAAATATTCAGCGGGCAAAATCATCCAAGACATTTCTTTGTGAAATTAAAATATTGCATT